GTCACCTGTCTTCAAAGAAGCCATTATAATTTTGTTTCTTGATTTTGGAAATTATATGATATTGCTACTTGCTACAATGGAAGTGATGATATGTTTATACTACTCTAAATCTTTGTCATTCACGTGATAAAGTGAGATTTTCATTCACAACACAACATAGCTAACATGGATGGGCAAATTAATCGTTAGATTCACTGGATTCGGTATTCGCTTTGACTCAATCCGAAAAATATGGATATCCTATATGAATCAAACTGGAGCAAATAATAAAATATTATATCCGTCTAAAGCAAAAAAATAGTAAATATCAATTTTAAAAAATCTGGATATCCGGCATATTACTAGGTGACTCATCGCGTTTAAATATGTTTTAGAAATCATATAAATTAAAAAGTATTATTTCGTGATTAAAAATAGCTAATGATGTTCAATTTAGATATAAGTTCAATTTTCTTTATATGAAATAATATTATTTTTATTTTTTTTCGTTTKTTTGCACTAATTCTAATTTCATTTACAATTATCTTTTAATAACCAAGTAAGATTTTGTCTTTTCTAAACATTTCTCCATTTCTATTGATGTTGTAGTGTCAATCTTGTCGTTAACATATTGCACCAAACTACTACTATTGTGTGTGTAAATCCTTTTATAACTTGAAAATTTGACAAAAAATGACATATTGTGATCAATTATGTTCAATATCTATTTGGTTAAACCAGTGTGAATTATTCTATTTGTGAATAAAATTATCTAAAATGAAAATATCTACTATGAATAATATTATATGGTTTGATTTTGGTTTGTGTTTGCATTTTAATCAAAATATCCTTTATTCGAATAGGTATTAGATCAATATTCTTTTTTTGTTAGATTCAACATTGAATTTGGATATTTAGATTAAACATTATTATTTTTTCAATTTTACGTAAATTGTAAAAATATTCACACTGCTATTTTATTATTTGCTTATAGCTTTATATATAAAATATGAAATTTACTATAAAAATAGAAATTATTTAGAACAATAGTTTAAAGAGTATTTATTTGTTAAATAAATATGTACAACTCATATTTATTTAAATGGTATCGTAGGTATAAATTATGTTAATTTGGCTTGTCCGTATATTTTAAGTAGAATTTAGAATATAAATAAATTATTTAATATTTTAAAGCATTTCAATATATAATCATAAATTTTGATATGAAACACAGATTTTGTTTTGTTTTGTTACTTTCGAATTAACTAATGTTTTTCTTACTTTCAAATTGTCTTGTGTTAAAGAAACCAAAAGAATAATTATTTATGTTGTTATAATTTTGGGAAGTTGTTTTCACAAAACATATCAAAAACTCTTTTAAAAATTTGGTAAGTCTTTATTATTAATTTCGAAAAGAATATATATTCGATAAAAATGTTCTAGAATTTTATTATTACAATAATCAATTTCTAAACTAGTTTTAGATGAGAAACGAAATTTAATATAAGATTTTAGAATGAAAATCGAAAATCTCATAAAATATTGATTAAAAAATCTTTTGATTTATCTATGAAAACAAATATAAATTTATTTGTAGAATATTTTATTATTGATTCGAAAATGCCATATCACATTATGTTCAAGTCATGTCACAATTATTTTGGTGAGATTGATTGTGGAGATAACACATAAGTATCTTCTCACAAATCACTTCTCAAATAATGTGTAAATAATATGATGGTTTTGTAATGTATATTTCAATTTTTGGACCTTTTAAATATGTAAGGCGAAAATATTCATCATTCTTAATTTTCACTTTTTAATTATATTTGGTAAAATTAGATAATTTAATATATTTATCTAGCTTGTTTATCAAACTGAAGA